GGAAAATGGCAGGATAGAAGACAATAAAGAAAAATAAGTTGTGTTTCTATACACTAAATATAACCCTAAAATTAAGAAAACCTCACAAATGCATCAAAAATAATGAAATACTTAAGAATACATTTAACCGAAGAAGTACAAGGCTTGTAGTCTGAAAACTATTTAAAAATTGCTGAAATTAAAGAAAAAAAAAACTAAGTGATTGGAAAGACATCTTGTAGTTACGGACTGAAAGAGTTAACATTGAAATTAAAGTTGCAATACTCCCTAACTTGATGAACTTAATACAAGCTGTATCAAAATTCCAACTTTCTTTGTTAAAAAAAAAAAAGACAAGCTGACCCTAAAATTCATAGGGACATGCAAAAGACCCAGAATAGCCAAAATAATCTTGAAAAAGTTGGAGCAGTCAGACTTCCTGAACTCAAAGCCTACTCCAAAGCTACAGTAAGTAGGGCCACAAATCTGTGTAGTAAGGACACAAGGATAGATTCCATAGATCGATGGAATAGAATTGAGAGTTTAGAAATAAACTCACACTCATCATCAAATAATTTTCAACAAGGGTGTCAAGCCCATGCAATGGGGAAAGAGTAGACTTTACAACAAATGGTACTGGGACAAGACTGGATAACATGCAGAGGATGAATTTTGTGTATGAATCCATACACAAAAATTACCTAAAAATGGATCAAAGGCCTAAATATAAGAACAAAAAGTAGAAAAACTATTTGAAGAAAACTTAGGTGAAAATTTTCGTAACCTTTGACAAGATATGATACCCAAACCACAAACAAATAGACATTTAAAAATAGATAGGTTGGACTTCATCAAAATCAGAAACTTTTGGAGCATTCCTTGGGTGTCCAGTGGTTAGGACTTCTTGCTCTCATTGTCAAGGGCCTAGGTTCAATCCCTGATTTGGGAACTGAAATCCCACAAACCATGTGGTGCTGGAGGGGAGTACAGGCAGAATTAAAACCTTTTCTGTACCAAAACTGTGGGCTTCTCTCATAGCTCAGTTGGTAAAGAATCCACCTGCAATGCAGGAGACCCCAGTTCAATTCCTGGGTGGGGAAGATCCCATGGAGAAGGGATAGGCTACCCACTACAGTATTCTGGCCTGGAGAATTCCATGGACTGTATTGCCCATGGGGTCGCAAAGAGTTGGACATGACTGAGAGACTTTAACTTTTCATACCAAAACTATCAAGAAAATTAAAAGAGGGCTTTCTCTGGTGGTAAAGAATGGTAAAGAATCTGCCTGCCAATGCAGGAGACATGAGTTCGATTTCTGATCTGGGACGATCCTACATGCCTTGGAGTAACCAAGACTGTGAGCCACAACTACTGAAGCCCGCACACCTAGAGCCGACGCTCTGAAACCAGAGGAGCCACTGCAGTGAGAAGCCTCTGCACCGCAACTAGAGTGGCCCCCACTTGCAGCAACTAGAGGAAAGCCCGCACAGCAATGAAGACCCAGCACAGCCATAAATAAACAAATAACATTTTTTAAAAAACGGATCCGCCTGCCAGTGGAGGAGACACTGGTTCAATCCCTGGGTCCAGATGACCCCACATGCCTCGGAGCAAGTAAGGCCATACACCACTACTGTTGAGCCTGTGCTCTAGAGCCTGAGAACTGCAACAAGAGAGGAGTTGCTGCTCTCTGCAACTAGAGAAAGCCCAGGGTCAACAATGAAGACCCAGCACAGCCTAAATAAAGAAATGAAATGAAACAAAATTAAGAGATAGCCCACAGAATGGGAGAAAATATTTGCAAGTTATAAATCTGGGAAGGGAAAAGTGTCCAGAATAAAGAACTCATACAACTTAACATAAAAACTCAAATTAAAATCAAGTTAAGGGGGGGACCTCTGTGGTGGGCCAGTGGCTAAGACTCTGAGCTCCCAGTGCAGAGGACTCGGATTCACTCCCTGGTCAGGGAACTAGAGCCCACATGCCACAATAAAGATCAAAGTTCCTGAGTGCCCCTTCAGCCAAATTTAATAAGAAAAAATGCAGGGATTTCCCTGGTGTTCCAGTGGTTAAGAATCTGCCTTCTAATACAGGGGATGCAGATTCAGTCCCTAGTGGGAACTAAGATCCCACATGCCACAAGGCAGCTAAACCTGAGTGCTGTAACAAAGAGCCTATCTACTAGAATGAAGGCCCAGCACAGCAAAAAAAAAAAAAAAAAAGCAAATCAAAACTATGAGATTCCAGTTCATACCAACTATGATGCCTAAAATTAAAAAGTCAGATGATAAAAGTGTTGGTGAGAATATGGAGAAATTATAAATATTACAGATTGCTTGTAGGAATATAAATGATAGTCACTATGGAAAATAGTGTAGCAGTTCCTCAAAAAGTTAAACACAGAGTTACTAGGTAACTCAGCAATTCCACTCCTGGTTATGTACCCCCAAAAACTAAAACATTTTAACAAAAACGTGAACACAAACGTTCATAGCAGCTTTATTCATAATAGTCAAAAAGTGAAAACGAATGAAATGTCCATCAGCTAATGAATGGATAAATAAAATATGGCCTACCTATACAATGGAATATTATTCAGTCATAAAGAGGAACATAGTACTGATCTGTGTTACAAAACGGATAGACCTTGAAAGTATTATACTAAGTGAAAGAAACCATTCACATATTTTAAATGAATCCATTCATGTGAAATGTCCAGAATAGGTACATCCATAGACATATAAAGCAGATTAGCAGCTGCCTAAAGCTATGGGTAGTGAAGAATGGGGAGTGACTATTGCTGGGTTTCCTTTTGGGATGGCGGAAACGTTCTAGAATTAGATAGTGCTGATGACTGCACAACTTTGTGCTTATACTAAATCCTACTGAACTGTGTATTTTTAAAAGGTGAATTTTACACTAAATGAATAGATCTAAAAAACAAAAGGAAAAATATTTTTCCATGATGATCAGTGCTGGGACTTCCTTGGTGGTCCAGCAGTTAAGACTCTGCTTCCACGCATGTGACACGAGTTTGATCCCTGGCAGGGTAACTAAGATCCCACATACCCCTCAGCATTGCCACCCCCAAAAATTATGATCAGTGAGGGGATGGACATCATTCTAAAAATAAAATATGGAGAGAATAGCCCACAACATCTGTAGGAATGACTGAAGCAGACCTCTGAGACTTGGATTTTTGCCCCAAGGAAATGGAGGCTTAGTCCAACAGTGAATAGATGATGGAGCCAGAATTAATACCCAAGTCTGTCAGCCTATGAGCCCTCTGCTTATAGCTTCTAGCCCTGTACTGGTCCAATAAGTAAACCATTGGCTATTGTGGCTACCAAGCTGTTGAAATGTGGCCAGTCCCAATCAGGATGAGCTGTAAGGGTAAAATACCCACTGGGTTTTGAAGATAGTATCATAAAAAGAATGTAAAGTATCTTAATAATTGCTTTGTATTTATTATATTTTGAAATCATACATTATATATTTAAATCATATATTGTGTTAAATAAAAAATAACGATTAATTTCATCAGTTCTTTTTACTTTCTGAAATGTGATTATTTAAACTGTTAAACTACATATGTGGCTTGCAATACTTTTCTATTGGACAGTGCTACTCTATAGAGTATTGGTCCCCTGGGAGCAGGGTAGGAAAAGGATGATATTAATTTACCCCTGAACTAACACTTCACTGAACATCCTTGACCAAACCAGTCTAAAGCTGATCACAAGGGGTCCTGGGAAGAGGGGTGTCGCTTGTACCTTCACTCCTAAAGGAAGGAGGGAGGGAATGGGTGTATCCCTTACCTCTGGGGCAGTAAGAATCCTCACTAGATCCAGATGTATATGAAAGTCTGTAGCTAATAAAGATATTTGCAAAGCAGGGCGATTAAAAAAGGCAGAAAAGGGCGGGCATCTTGTGTCTTTTGACAAGATTTACTATTTAAGGGGAACTCCAAGAAATAATACCCTTCAAAAGCTTCATCATCTGATGCAAAATACATTTCATGATTGCAATTCAGTCAGATTTGAGAAGTGGGCTGTGGTGGGGTCGGAAGAGGGTCAAAAATTGCAATGTATACTCCAGGAGAGAAGAAACTTGGTCGAATTTATTCTTGTCTTCTTAGCGCCTAGAACAGTGCCCGCCACACAGCAGGCGCTTCTTAAATATTTGAATGAGTTAAGATGCAAAATTAGGTGAATGCGACGGTGTGTTTTTCGCGGGAGGAGGCCTCCGGCTTTTGTCCAGTGTCGGAGTCTAGGCCGCCAAGGGGTTAACAACCACTTAATACCGACAGGGACGTGAAATTTATTTGAAATCAATGTCAAGAACTGGTTGTTCTTATTCTGGGGAGTAGCCAGACCTCGGCGTCTGGAATGATCTACGTGCTTAAAAATACCACTCGCCACCATTTTCTCCAGGTAATTTTCCATCCCTGCCCCCACAGTCAAGGGGGGTAAAAAAAAGTAATTCCGCAATCCTACCTAGCTTCAGAAAAAAAGAAAAGAAAAAATTAATCGGTACAGGAACAAATCTCCAGGCACCGCCAGCACAGCAGAAGAAAGGGACCCAGGTGGGCCTCGGGCGCTGCCGGGACCCCAGCCCCCCAAACTTTGCCAAGTTGCGGGCGCCGAGCGCGCCCGGAGACGCGGGGCGCGGCCGCGGGCGGCACCGCCCCCTGACGCCCGGCCGCGGCGCGCCGGGCCGCCCCCTCCCGGCCCCGGCCGGCCCCGCTGGCTCCGCTCAAAGTTTGCGGCCGCCCCTGCGCCCGCGCGCCCGCCCGATGTATGGGTGATATACTGCAGCGGGTGTCAGGGTGAGGGACGGCCATATTTGCCGGTGCGGCCCGAGCCGTCAACAACAAAAAGTGCGCGGGAGCTCGGCGGGCGCACGGACGGGCGCACGGACGCCGGGACCGCCTCGCCGCTGCTGGGTCTCGCCGCCGCCGCCGCCGCCGCCCTCGCGGGCCGGGCCCCGCTGCGCCCCGGCGCGCCCCGCCGCTCGGGGGGATGTCTTACAAACCGAACTTGACCGCGCACATGCCCGCCGCCTCCCTCAACGCCGGTGAGTGAGTGCGCCCCACGGGCGGCGCGCGCCGCGCCCCAAGTGCAGCCAAGTTGGGGTCTCGCGCGCCCGGCCCCGGCCCCGGCTCCCGGGGGCCCGCGGCGGCCGGGGTCGGCGGGCACCGGGTCCCGGCCCGGGGCAGCGCGGCCGCCGCCGCCATGATTCCGGCGCCCGCGCTGCCAAAGTTCGCGGGTGCGCCCCGCGCCGCGCCGGGCCTCGGGTCGGGCCGGGGCCGGGGCCCGGGCCCGGGTCGCGGGCGGCCGCCGCGGTCCCCCCCACGCCGGCGGCCGAGGGCTCGTGGGGAGCGCGGCGAGCGAGGGCGGGGGAGGCTTTCTCGGCTCCTTTTTCCTCCGGCTTTTGGGCGGCTCGGCGAGGGCCCCTGCCGGCGGGAATCGGGAGCGGCCCGGCCGCTCCGGGAGCGGAGCTCCGGGAGCGGGCGCGGGGCCGCCCTTGGGGACCTGGGGGGTAGGCCTGGGCGGGGGGTCCGGGCGGCAGGGGTGCACGTGAGCAAGGCCGGGCCACGCGCAGGCGGCGCTGCGGGGCGGCGAGAGCGCCAGGTTGCAGCCGCCCCCGAGGGCGCGGGGCAGCTGGGGTCACCGGCGGTGCAGGGGAGGTGGTCTGTGGACGCCCGCCCGGCCTGGCGTGGGGGAGCTGGTGTCCAAAACGGGGCGCACGGAAGGTCCCCTCAGGCGTGCGCGTAGTGGGAGAAGTTGGCGAAGACCCGGGGCTTCGGAGTTGCCTGCAGGCGGAGGGCGGGGGAGGCATTGCAGCCGGGGTCCCGCATCTTGGAGCCCCCAAGTCTGGGTTTAGAGGGGCCTCCTGCAGGAGCCGTGCTCTCCCGGTGCTGGGGCTGAAGCTGGGCGGTCCCAGGAAACTCCTGCATAAGTTGTCTGGCAGCTTTAGGCTGAGCCCGGGGGTCTTGCCCCAGAGACCGGGGCGGGGGCGGGGTGTGTGTGTGGGAGGGGTATGTGGCTGGTGGTAAAATTTTGTGGGGTTCGTAGGTGACTGACTCTCTCCCCTCTCACCGAGGTTCTTCTTTAGACTCTTGGTGGGAAACTTCCAAAAAAGCGAGGTGCATGGAGGTGGGGGTGGAGGCAGGGGCTTGGCAGGGAGATGGGCCTGGCTGGTCAGAAATGCCACGCTGGCAGTTGGCCGAAAGTTTTGGGCCTTGTCTCCGAATGTTGACTCGGTAACTCCAAAATCTGAAGAGCGCACCAGAAAATCACTAAATGTATATGCATGTATGTATATACCTATACATAGGTGTATATAGGTGGTATATGTATATTTAACTTCTTGGACACAGATTTGGAGATTGGAAAGGGTTAAGATTCAGGGTGTGGATGGCTGTGGGGGTAGATAGTTGAGTTGGTCAAGTGTGGGCTCTGTCTGAGCCCCAGGAGCAAACGGCCCCTATTTTCAGCTGAAATGCTCTCATCTCTGGGGTCTGCATACCTTAAGAGGCAGGCCTTGTGGCCACAGTGTTTCTCACTGCCTCCCTCATCTGACTCTGGGGTGGGATGGCTGGAGGGTCTTGCTGCCCGCCCGGGTCGGGGGCAAGTCTCAGGCTGCCCTGGTGCAGTTGAGGCAGGGGCCCTGAACCTGGCCCTTCGGGGACTGGGGTCCCAGAGGGAGCGAGTCACCCGCTCAGGCGCCCTGAAGCCCTGCTCTGGGCTGCCTAGCACCTGTGTCCAGATTGTCTTCCTTCTCCTGTGGTGAACTCCGGGAAGAGTGCTGAGGTCTCCAGATCTCTGGTGTTCGGGTGAGGGGCCGCCCCCCCACTCTACGTGGACCCCTTTAGAAAGCCCGCATCTCCCTGTGCCATTTGCATCCAAGATGGACTCTCCGCTGCCGCTCCTCCGGCTTCCTTGTCATCATCCCTCACGCCCTCCAGCCCTGCCTCCTGCTCGCGAGTTGCCAAGCCGCGGCCTGGCCAGCAGTGGCAGTGGCGGAGTTAGACAAAGCCCCCGCCTCCCCGCCAGAGAGCCCCCCCAGGCGCCCCAAGTGGCGGGAAGGCCGCCAGCTCCCCAGGCCCGGGCCGCTCTTTGTCTGGCGTGGGGGCGGGGAGCCGCGCCTGGCCCCAGGAGCTGCTGGCCTTTGCCAATCCCTCCCTCGGCTCAGGGCCCTCCCTGGTCCCCGCACACTGCGCGCATTGTCTGCGATGCTCCGAGACGACCGCGCTCACGCCCTGTCTGGTTTTCTCCTTGGCCTTGGGCAGCCGGACCGCCAGCCCTCCCTGCGTCTGCAGGAAGCTGTGGTCATGAGTGGAACTTGGGGCCCCTCCACCAACTCTTCCCAGGGCCACAGACACCCCCCCTCTGAACACTGAGCAAAGGACTGGCTCAGAGTTGGGGTCGCCTACCACATCACCCAGGTGATAGGAAAGTCAAGCTCTGGGCTCTTGCCTGACTTCTTCATACCACTTCCACGCCCGCAACCCATTCCTTCTCCCTCTCTCAGGACCTAACCCCAGCACTGTGGAGAAGCAGGTTCTAGAGCCTTTAAACATTCTGTTGGGAACTGTTACCTCAAACAGATGGAGAAACTGAGGCCAGAGGGAGAAGGGCCATGTCTTAGGTCCCGCAGCCCAGTATGGCACAGCTGGCCCGGCTCCCAGTCTAGACGCTTGCCTGCAGGAGAGAGGATGGGTCAGGGAGACAAGACATACAGAATATAGTAATAGGAGGAGGAGGGCTGGAGGTGGGACAGAGAATGCACTCATCTCCTGCCCGGGAGCTGGAATCTTCTAGATGCCTTGAAGTGCTGAGCAGTGTCATGAACTCCCCCCCTTGCCCACTCTTGCCTTTAGCATCCCAGCCTTACAGAGAGAAGTGTAAGAACTTGCAGTGGTGGGGACTTGAACCCTGGCCTGGGGCAGTGAAGCCTGAGCCACCCAGACCACACACCACCCACATCAGAAGGCCAGGAAATTGGGGTTTGGCTGACGTGGTGAGGGGAGCTGGTGGGGGGGCGCCCGCTACATTCCCTTGCTCTGGTCACTGCACACCCATGGTTGCCTCAGATGGAGGTCGCAGACGTGAGTGTGCTTCTGTAGCACAGGTGTGTGAGCAGCCCTTCTTTTTAGAGGCATGGCAGCTGGGTGCTATCCTCAGTCCTCAACTTAGAGGTGGCAAAATCCATGTTTCTTGTCTGGGCGTCCCATGCTTGGGCATGAATCTGAGCCCCAGTGGAGAAATCCAGGGCCAGTCAGGTTGGGTACAGAATTGTCCTCAGCTCTTGGACAGAGGGACAGGTCTGAGGTGTTAGCCTCTTCTGTGCTGTGTGGCCTGGGGGCAGTGCCCACCCTCTCTGGTCTGTGTTTCACTTTCTGCAATGAGGGGCTCCAGGGCCCCTTCTAGCTTCAGCAGCCTGAGCCCCTGAACTTCCTTCTTCTCCCGCCCCTCCCCTTGCCCACACCACATGAGCAGCTGGTCGGTTTGGCCGGCCTGGCACCAGCTGTCCATCCCTGGGGCCAAGTCTGCAGAGCCCGCTGTGTGCGTGAGAGAGAAAGAGAGAGAGAGAGAGAGAGAGACTGTTTGGCTCCGGGGGCGGCAGGCAGAGGGGAAGCTGCTCCCGGGCCAGGCGTGGAGGCAGGCGGGCCGCTTGCTGAGGAGGGCTAGGTAAATTCTCCATGGTTACCGCTGTTTGTAATTCCGCAGGACATCCTTTACCCGCTAATGGCCACTTGGACGCCATTATGGGTCTGCGCGCTTCCAGCTACTGAGCTGGAGTTGGAATATTCCCTGCTGCGGACCTCCCCATCCCCCATCCAGGAGACTTCATTCTGAGCCAGGCCCTGGCCCCACGTGGTCCCTCCGCTGAGGGACAGCATCTTCCAGTGTGGCAGTCCATAAGTCGGGCCTTACTGCTCCCCTCTGGGGGCATGAGCCATCCAAGCACAGATTCAGACTGGCAAGAGCCTGGTCCCCTCTTGGGGAGGCGTGATAGGCGCTCCGAGAGGTTGAGGGACGTGCCCAGGGACACACAGGCTGTGATGTGCTCCAGATCCCTGACTTGGTGCCCAGTGGGCTTCGCAGGTGGCCCTGGCGGTAAAAGAACCACCCCCCCGCCCTCCCCCAGTGCAGGAGATACAGGTTTAGTCCCTGGGTCGGGAAGATCCCCTGGGGAGGGCGTGGCAGCCCACTCCCGGGGTCTTGCCTGGAGAATCCCATGGACGGAGGAGCCTGGCGGGTTGCACTCCGTGGGGTCACCAGGATTCAGACACGACTGAGCGCACACGCACACCAGCCCCCGGCCAGGATCGAACCTTCCCGTCTCCCTCCCTGTGTCGTCCAGCAGAAGGCCGGGCACTCGGAAGTCTTAGCCCGAGTGTGGACCAGCCTTAGTAGCAGCTGGGCTCTTGTGGAGCCATGGGTTCCTAGGCTGTCAGCCTCTGAGGCGCAGGGCCCAGGGAAAGGGGACTTGAAAGCATTAGGCTGAGAACAGCGGCAGCTTTCCTCTGCTCTGAGTCTTTGATGGCATGAACGGGAAGGGGCTCTGTGATAGATTAGCCATGTCTGCTGGGGTCGGGGGTGTGAAGGGCAGCGGCCTGTTAGTTACTTTTTACTGTCAGTCTTGTAGGCCGAGTGTCAGCCACCGCCGGGCTAGAAGACGGGAGGGGGGTTCTCTGTCCTCGGAGACAGAAGCGCATTGTTGATGGCACGAGTCCCGGGCGGGGGGGCCCAGGGTCCTCACCTTGGCAGTGGCTGCAGTTGGCCAGGGCGCCTGCCTTACTGACTTGGTCTGCTCCCCCACAGCCGGGAGCGCCCACCCGCCCCCCGCCAGCATGGCCGCGTCGTCACAGTACCGCCAGCTGCTGAGCGACTACGGGCCGCCATCTCTAGGCTACACCCAGGTATGGCAGCGGGGGCGGTGCGAGGTGGGGGCCTGGAGGGCGGCAGCGGAAGGAGTAGAAATGATGGGATGGCGTGGTCACCCCAGCTTCCTCAGCCCAGGGCCCTGGCTGGGCTCGTGCTCGGGGCTCAGGGCCTTGGTTCACGGGGGACGCTGAGTGACAGGAAGGGGTGGGAGAGCCCAGAGATGCTGGAAGCCCCGGGAGCCGCAGTTCCCGTTGGGGCCACCACCCCACGTGTGTCCCTGATGGGTCTCCTCATGCCCGGGGCCTGGGCAAGTGAGGGCCGGCCTGGACTGTGGGTCTGAGCTTCAACAGAGGGGAGGGGACCCTGTTCCCACTCACTTGCCACAAGGTTGTGGCCCCAGCAGGGAGGACGGGGCCCGTAGCCTAGTGGAGCCCAGGTGGGTTCCATCAAGAGCTGGTGGCCCCTGAGTTTTACATCTGGTTCCACCGGTCACAGGGCTCTGACCCCCTCCTCTCCACCCCAAAACTAGCTGAGACTGACTTTCCCCTTCAGGGTTGGGGGGCCATCAGTGGAGGCAGTCTCCGCTCCTTTGGAAGTGCTGCCTTGAGTTGGGCGGGGGATGGGGGTGCGGCGCCTGGGCCACCAGCCAGGAGATTCTCTCCCGTGGCTGCAACTCATGTTCCGAGGTCGCCACGGAGGCCGGCCCTGCCCTGGGGGATGAGGTGGCGGCCCGCAGCCATGCCCCGCCAGGCCCTCCTGCCCACAGAGGGGAAGCAGGTGGGGGTGAGGCCCCCCCTGAAGAGGTGGTGGCTGGAGGACGGGGCCAGGCGTGGCCTGGACAGACCGCGGAGCGCCCCGGCCTTGAGGCCACGGCCAGAGCAGAGGAGGCAGGACCGAGGGGCCCAGAGGAGGTGCCCAGAGGATGCCGAGGAGCCAGACAAGGAGAGGAGGAAGGACCTGGAGGCCAGGAAGCAGAGGCGGGGGGAGCAGGCGAGGGCCTCCCCGGGGGAGGTGGCTGGCCTGATGCAGCTGCTGGGGGCGGGGAGGCCCAAGCAGGCTGGTGGGAACTCGGCCTTACTGACCACTGTGTTTGCTGGGGGCGGTTGGAGGGGGATCTAGAAGGAAAGGGTTTCAGTGTGGTGGACCCTGCCAGTGTGGGGAGGAGGGATGAATCTAAATACATTCTGGATTCTGTCTGGGTGGCCTTTGGCAGTTTTTCTAGTCCTGCTGACCCCCAGGTGTGGCATCCATCTCGGCCACTCACTCTGGACCCCCAGCCGTCCCGGGATCACTTAATTGTCTAGCCATGGCTCCTTCCAGGAAATTCTCAGCGATCACCTTTCTGTTGACTTTTTTGCCCTTATTTGAGATGATCAGAGGGCTTTCTGGAGACTGCTGGGTGGTGGCCTTGAGTGTACGAGGACAGTAGAGAAGGCCGGCTCCCTGGCCTGTAGTTGTTGCCCAGAGGGGACGTGCCTGGCTGCAGCGGAGGCAGCTGCCCTGGGAGTCTGGGCCGGGCCACCCTCCTTCTGCCCTGCTGCCCCTGGGCTCAGGCCGCTCCCCTGCCCTGGCCCTGTGCCACTGGCGTGCAGTGGGGTCCTGACTCTGGCCTTGGGGTCAGGTTGGGCGCAATCTTCTGAACGCTTTCCTTTCTGATTCCAGGGCACTGGGAACAGCCAGGTGCCCCAGAGCAAATATGCCGAGCTGCTGGCCATCATTGAAGAGCTGGGGAAGGAGATCAGACCCACCTATGCGGGCAGCAAGAGTGCGATGGAGAGACTAAAACGAGGCAAGTCCTGGGCCCTGGACTCCCCTGGTGGGTGATGCCTTTCTGCTGGCTGACCCCTGGCACTGTCTCTCTACCTGTCTTGAAAGATCTTTTGGGGAAAACGGAGGGTGGCAGACAGAAGCATCCCCTATGGCACAGGGCGCTCATTTTGTTTCAGAGTGACTGTTGAGGCAGCATGAGCTAGACTGTCCTGGGGATCTGAAGGGAAGGGGCTTGGTGGCCAATTTTCAGAGGCATCTGAGAAGGGAAGCCCTGGGGCTTCCCTGGGAGGGGAGGTCCACTGGCCAAAACTCTGTGCTTTTACTGCACGGGGGTGCAGGTTCGATTCCTGTGAGGGAACCAAGATCCCATAGGCTGTGCGACCAAAAAAAAAAAAAAAGCCTTTGTACCCAGATCCTGCAGCTCTGCCTTATGCCTGCTTCACTCCAGCTGGCCGACTCTGGTCCTGGGGCCACAGGGGCCCGCATTGCCCTGTGTGACCTCTTTGGAGCTGGGCCCCGAGGAGGGGTATGGGGCAGAGGGTGAGAGCGCTTTGAAGTTCTTTCGTGACTGAAGAGGGAGGGAGGGCGGGAGGCTGGTGTCACCAGGAGAAAGGGATTCACGTGAAGATGTGGCTGGCCAGCTGACTTCAGAAGGCAGTGAAATAGGTTGGTTGCTGCTTCACGAAGTGAAAGGGGAGTGGAGAGGAGAAAAGGATTTCTATTTTAGAAGGTGGCAGTTCAGAGCATGGTGGCTTATGTGCGAATTTAATTTTAGGAGGGTTTTTTCTTTCTTTTTTTTTTTTAAGGTTAGAGAAGCAACTTTGGAGAAAAACGAGAGAGGGGAACATTCTGTGGCTGTGAATCTGGGGCGTGACGGCAGGGGCGGAGCGGGGCGCGGCGGTAGTCAAGCCACGGCTCCAGTGATGGGCAAGGCTGGCTGAGGACAAGTTTCCCTCTCCCCCCAAAACAGTAACTGGTGGTGACTACCTATGTGAAGAGGCTGATTGCAAAGCCGGATCAGAGAATAACAGGCATTGGTGTGGGGAGGGGAGGATGGCAGTAGGGGCTAGAAGAGGCCTTGGGGGAGAGAATGAGCTTAACCCCAGTCCAACCATAGGGGTCAGGGGGGCATCACTCCGCCCACAGTCCTGGTAAACTGGAGTGCTGGTTACCTGAGTGGGCATGCCTGTGGAGATGCTGGGCCCCAGATGCTGTCTGATGGGCTATCTGCAGCCACCCAGCAAAGCTGGCAGTTCAGGTCAACACGTGGATACACCTAGCGACTGGTGGCAGGGCGCATCCTGGGTGAGCACCTAGTCCCACAATCGCCCTGACCAGTAGCTGAGAGAGCTTGCCAAGTTTACATCATAGCAAGGAAGGAGGGTCCTAGGGCATGGGGAATCAGGCACCAAGAATGCTATTTGCGTTTTTATTATTCTATTTTTTGCTGCACTACGCTGCATGCAGGATCTTGGTTCCTCAACCAGAGATGGAACCCACGTCCCCTGCAGTGGAAGCGTGGCATCTTAACCACTGGACCACCAGGGAAGTTCCTATTTGCATTTTTTTTTTTTTTGGTGCCAAAAACTGAGAGTGAACTATTTGTGGTTTTTAACGATGGAAAAAAAATCTGTGACATGTCAAAATTCTGCGAAATTCAAACATTGGCGTTTAAGTAGACTTGTTGGAACATGGTCACACCCATCGCTTGTGTAATGTCTGGGCTCTGTCATGGTATGATAAGAGTGGAGTAGCTGTGACAGTTGGCTGTACGTACGACCTTTGCTGAAAGTCTTCAGAAGCTCTGGGGAATAAGATTTGTGAGGTGGGGATACCTGAGTGACTTGGGGTGTCATTCCTATGGCCCTCTTGGGGTCAGCTCTTAGAAGGAATAGATTCTTGTTGTCGATTAAAATGAGGTAAGTGTTTCATGAAGTTTAGTAAAGCCAAAACAAAAACAAAACCCAAATGATAACTCCCAAACCATAGTGATAAAAGATGAGGGGAAAATCAAATCATAGATGGCACCAATCCCTAGTGGAAAGGATGAAGCAGTAAACCAGGGTGAGACTGGGTGAGCCTTCATCTTGTGCCCAAATCTGGGCAGGCTACCTGACACTCCCAAGTCCCTTGTAGAATTTAGGAAAAATAAGGGTTTGAAAGCTCCATAGTGGGCTTCCTAGGTGGCACTAGTAGTCAAGAACCTGCCTGCCAATGCAGGAGACAAAAGTGGGTTCGATCCCTGGGTTGGGACGATCCCCTGGAGGGAGGGTATGGCAACTCTCCAGTATTCTTGCCTGGAGAAACCCATGGACAGAGGAGCTTAGAGGACTACAGTTCATAGGGTTGCAGAGTCGGACACAACTGAAGCGACTTGGCCTGCAATCTCTGTCATGGGTCCTTGCTTAAAGAACTGGGTGGAGACACTTACTCCTGGCATCTGGACGGTAACATGGTTTGTGTAGAGAGTAATGTCAGGAAGAGAGCTTGCTGGTTTGTTATCTTGAGCACGGGACAAAATATTTTTAGGGAGTGAGATGAGGAGTGTTGGCTTTGAGGGATTGGATGGGGTTTGGGTCATAGAATACAGGTCCCACGTTCTCTCCAATCTGAGGTTTCTGCAGCTGGTTGTGAAGGACTGCTCTCCACTCCTGGAGTTGGTGCTGCCTTCTGACGCCTGTTTCTGCTTCTCTTCCAGGCATCATCCATGCCCGAGGATTGGTGCGGGAGTGCCTGGCTGAAACGGAACGGAACGCCAGGTCCTAGCTGCCTTGTGAGCCTGGAGGTTTTCCAGCTTCTTCCCAGAGAAGTTATGGTTCACCTCCCTTGTTGAGATGAAACTTTTGTTTTCAAGATGGTTAACCAGTTCAGTTTCTCGTCCCCCTGCCCCTCCCGTGGTTCACTTAGGCTCTGAATCTACAGTCTCTTTAAGATTGAGGAAAGATTTTGCAATTGATTAGGAGTTACATTGGAAATAGTTAGGAACTTCCCAGGTGTTTGTGGTTTTGTTTTCTTTTTTTAAAAGCATTGATTCAAAAGATGCACGTAGAAGTTACCTGTCTTACAGCAAACTAGTTTTGACTCTGAGATACCAGTGTCTGGTTTTCTTTTGAATACATTTATGTTAACCCAGATTGTTCTGTGTTCCTTTTCACAAGCTGATACAACTTGAAGTTTTTTTTTTTCAGTAGTACAGACTTGACAGCACACTTAACCTAGTAGCCAGTCCCCTCGTTTGCCATATGGTATAGATTCTGCTTAATATAACTTCTTTTTTGCTTAAACATATTTGCATGATTATTAGTGCTTTGAAGTCCATTCTAAAATGCACAAGTTATAAATACAGAAGAAAAGAGCAACCTCCCAAACCAAACCTAACACGGAACCCTGAAATTTTTCCTAAGACTGTATGTAGATTTCAGTTCTGCCTTTTCTGAGGGTTGACCCAAACATCTGGAAGAAAATGGAACTGTTTGCGTCTTTGTATTTATTACTTGATGTAATAAAGCTTATTTTCATTAACAGCTTGTATTAAGATGTGGGTTCCTTGAATTCTTGGTTATATTTTTAAAAAAACAGCTCCTCAGCGAGAGGTGGGAGAGACCTGTCAAAGGGCATTTTCCCACCTGGTCCAGGAATGTTTTGTGTGACAGTGTCAGTAGCACAATGGGCCAGGGACGGGATGTGTTGGGTAAGTCAAGGATCGGGTGAAGCTGCAGAGTGGATGCATCTTAACGACAGCAGGTGTTAAGTGAAGGAGGAAGGAGAAAGAGTAGAGGCCGTGTTACTTTTCTCCAGTTGCGGTGGCAGGCTTCTCATTGCGGTGGCTTCACTTGAGCAGCACAGGCTCCAGGGCGCAGGGGCTCAGTAGTTGCGGCTCCCGGGCGCTAGAGCACAGGCTCGATGGTTGTGGCACGTGGGATCTTCCCAGATCAGGGGTAGAACCTGTGTCTCCTGCATCGGCAGGCAGATTCTTCACCACTGAGCCACCAGGGAAGCCCTTGATCCTGCCCTTTCTGAGCTCGCCTCCCTTAGGCCATTCTGTGTTTAGGAACTTATCCTATGAGCATCCCCCCCACCCCCCGCCCCCCATATAATGCAGTTACTAAACTCCAGCTACTTACCCTGTTCTCACCAGATGGTAAGAACTATTTGCCCCAGTGCTGGGAAAAGTGGGCTGCCTGGGATGTCCCGAGAACCACAGGAACCCCAGGAGTGCCTTCCAGAGGGACTTTGAGGTCATCCTTCCTGTGTTCCTTAGGCACTGCTCCCCATATAATGAGGGTTTACCGTGGCGAGAGGTAAGACTTAAGAGGAGGGATGTGGTCAGTTTTACAGGTATGAGGCCAGACCCCAGCCATGACGGCTCTAAAGGCCAGTAGGTGGGTATTAGGGAGCTGGCTTGTCTGCTCATCTCCTTCATGGACCTAATAAGAAATTCACGAAGGGAGATAAGACATTAAAGTGCCTGTCCCTCTTGTCTGAAGCTCCCCCAAATTTCCTGTCCACTGTTAGACTGTCTCTTGTGTACCATTCCAGATGCTTCTCTTGGCTACCTTCTAAAAGGAGGTTGGAGATTGGAAGGGCCCTGCATATTGCGGCCAGAGGTCCAGAGCCTTGCATGGAGCTAAGCTTCCAAACCAGGCCACTGCTAGTTGAGAAGAGCCTTACCTGGTTTCCTTACAAGTCATTTTACTGGGATGCGTGCAGTCTGGCTTCCCTCATAGCTCAGTTGGTAAAGAATCTGCAATGCAGGAGATCCAGGTTCAATTCCTGGGTCGGGAAGATCCTCTCGAGAAGAAAATGGTAACCCACTCCAGTATTCTTGCTTGGAGAATCCCATGGATAGAGGAGCCTGGCAGGCTACAGTCCATGGGATGCCAAGAGTTGGACATGACTTAGTGACTAAACCACGACTACCATGCAGTCTGGTCTTCAGTGAAAAAATGAGGCAGGTCATGTGTCTGACGGTGGCTTTCTCACCTCATGGGTTTTGTTTCCTTCCTAGTTTTTTGCATAAACTCTGGATGGATTCTAATAAACCAAGTTAATAACCATGTCTAACCCTCCCCCACCAACAATCTGTAAGGTCAAATCTGGCTTGAGGGATGGTATCAAGCAAATTCACAAACCAGGTTTCTGAAACCTCATCTCTCATAAACCTACTACTTGTAGATCCACATAAAGGGAATGATGTATTTCCACACCAGAGTGGTCACTTGTCAACATACAGTCTATTAAGCTAATGGGGTAAATGGGCAAGTGGGTTACCAACTTGTAAATCTTCCACCATCTTGTTTTCTTTTATTCTCTTAACCTGACATGAAGCTAGCTGACATCCACGTGTCAATGATCAGTGACGTCCCAGCAGATGACAAGGAGGCACTAAAAATGCTAGTTTGACTCAATTCTATCATTTTCCATAAAAAGTCTTTTTTTTTTTTCCAAAATACTTCTCACTTTTGATAATAAAATATGATACAGTCACACAAATGTATAGCTTAAAAGGGGACATGCTTCTACTTACCACCCTGGTCAAGAAGACTCTGCAGCTGCCCTGGAGGCCCTCCAAGCCTCCCATCACCGTAACCTTTCCTCCCCCACAAAAGCGCCCCTGTTCCTTCTCCAGTAATGACTTCCTTGGGTTTCTATACAGTTTTATTCTCAGAGTCTGCACCTCTATTCGTGACAGTCTGTCTGCTGTTTAGAGACTTGGCTGTCTCTGGGGCCCGGCACACACACACCTCTGAAAGCTGGAGGCCAGTCGGCTGGTTCCTTCAGTCAGAACCTGCAGTCCTCTCCCGGCACATTTTTACTAGCTTCCCATTGTTCTTTCAAGAGTTTCTTTTTCTCGAGGGTTTCCTTTGCTCTTTTTTTTCTTTCTTGCTTTCTCTTCTCTGCCTCGCGTTTTTCTCTGCAAACGAGACTGTTTTCGCCATTGTAGAAGACGTCCACTTTCTCTTGCAGGATTCTCCGAGCTAGCTTTCTGTTTTGGTCAACGGATCTGGTCTGGTGGCACTGTAAGAGATGGTATTTCATAATGTGAAAGCCAGTGTGTCCTGGGCAGGACCTTGGGAGTCATTAGACAACCTCATCCCTTTACAGAGGGGTCGGGCCCGCAGGGGCAAAGCCACTTGTCAGGAGTCCCAGCGGGTCAGTGGCAGGATGAAGGCCAAGCTCCCTCCTGCCTCTGCCGGGGCCGTGCCCAGTCCCACACCCCAGCTGTTACGTGACTTTCACTGTGACTGTGCCAATATTTGGAGTGTTTTGTTTAGAAGTAACAATAGCCTTCAAAGAAAGTCCCTAGATAATTTTGGAAATGTCAACCAGTATGTCTAAGCAAGCCCTCTTGTGTGCCCTGTTTATAAATAGAACCTGTCTGCTAATGTAGGAGACATAAAAGATGTGGGTTCAATCCCTGGGTTGGGAAGATCCCCTGGAGAAGGGAATGGTAACCCACTCCAGTATTCTTGGCTGGAGAATCCCACGGACAGAGGAGCCTGGTGGGCTATACAATCCATAGGGTCGCAGAGCTGGACACCACTGTAGTGACTTAGCATGCACACATGTGCTATTAGTCAACCATGATGTTCATTATGTAACATCTCTTATAACTGGCGAGTGCCTTGCAAAGCTAATTTATTTGATAAATTCTGTTAAATTAGGGTGAAAAGATAACATTTCAAGCAGATTTGGAGTAAGCTATATGAAATAGGTTAAACAAATTTAACTATGTTAGGTTTCAGAGTTTTATTTGTTGCTCATGAATAAGTTTTTCGAGGAGGAAACGAAAAATGATTGAGATTTTAACTAATATGCTCAGAAATATGGCAGCAAAGAACGGCTGTCAGGACCAGACTTTGGGTTTGGTCCGAGTTGACTCTGGCAGCTGGAGGAAACACTATGGGCCTCAGGCTCCACCTTATGATCGTGGGCTTGTAAAGATTAAGAGTTAGTGTGAATGTGAAGCTGCTCAGAACAGGGCCGGCCAACAACATGCTCATGTGATATGTAAGTACTTGCTAATGGTACCACTGGTGTAGGAAAACCCGCCAGTCCTCTTTCCACTGTGCCTTGAGGCTTGTGCTGCCTTCAGGGCCCTGGGGCTACGGGACAGACCGGCAGTTCCAGAGCCAGTGAGGCCACTAGCAAACCAGGAAACAAGAGAAAGCAGCACACCCTTTCTTAGAGTGCAGCCTGTGTTGATGGCTGGCAATGTGCAGATCAGTGGTTGGGTTTTTATATTCAGGAGTCTCTGCCGGCCCATTCCGTTGAGGGCTGACATCAGTTTGCCTCGTTACCTCACTCAGTCCTTCTCCAGAAGGGCAGGTGTCGCCGACATTTACCAAAGTGGGGACAGAGAGACATGGAGGGTGCAGCCGTCTGAGGCATCAGCCAGGTGGCTAAGGGCTGAGCCTACTGGCAGACGGCCTGGCCCGCGGGTTGCTTGGGGGCCCGGAGCCCATGGCAGGGCCATAGACAGAGCCCCCTGCAGTCGCTCCGCAGCCCAGTGGCTTGACAAGAACTGTGGGGCCTGCCAAGTTCAAGGCCGGCAGCAGTTAAGAGCGCAGCTGCACAAGATCCTGGGAGGGGGGCTCCTGGGGCCGGGCCCGAGACCACAGTCCCCCACTGCAGGAGCCACAGCTGTCACTCAGGAGAAATCGGGGGACCCCAAGACCACCTTCCTCTACCTTGACGACAATGCCCGAGGGCACGTGTCTCAGCACCACGCAGTTGCTGGTTTTGTTGGTTGCCTGGCCCCCTGGACCGTGGCCTTTCACGAACTGCTCTTCAAGCTCATGCTCGTCCAGGGAGAGCAGCGCGGGGCGGTCCTTCTTGCCGGCTGCCTGCACCAGAGTGGCCACCGTTCCTGGGGACAGGAGCAGCAGCTTCTCGCAGAGCCGGAGTCCCCAAGGCACTAGGCACACTCTGGTCAGTGGGGCAGGAAAACGGAACAGACCCGAGGTACTCATGGCAAGGGGCTCTCAGGACCTGGATCAGACAGAGAGGAGAGCCCTTCAGCCTCGCCTGCTCTCAAGATTAGATGAATACTTCTTCAGGTTCTAAGATCACCTCTTATGCACCAGTTCAAATGATCACCACCCATCTGGCAGGCAGGGGATTTAGGAAGTCCGTGCAGACAGGCTACCCGGCCACACATACACCTCTCCCCGGCCCTGCATTGTCTATAGTGTTCTCAGCACAGCAGTACATGCCCTGCCAGCTGGTAAATATTTTCTTGTAAACGGACCAAAAATATCTTCAAAGCACCCAGAGGTGCCGTTTTCTCAGGAAGGAGAGGCTGCGAGTGTGAAATTCAAAAGCATGGGGCTGTAATTTGATAAGGAAATACTCCATAGGACACCAAGCAAGACTTAGAATCTGAGTCAAGTGACATGACTTAAGTGTGTGAGAATCTCTGAAATCAAAATGAAAAGACGACAGTATGTGATGATCTGTTTTAGAGCTGAGCTTAAACAGTCTGACGCACTAAATATCACTATCAATCAATGTCCTGATTGTTGTTTTTTAATGTTTCCAGTTTCATGGATTTGAATGGGAACATCTGTTCCCTCAGAAGCACTGCCAATCACAGGATCCAACCAGCACTCATCCTTAGTGCTACCAAATCCACTGATTTTTTATTAAGGTGCAAAGTAAAAGGCAAGGGAGAGGGAGTGACATGAAGTCAGAGAGAGCAAGATGCAGTCTTCAAGGAGCTCACAGAATTTCTCCCAGTCAGGGAAGGTGTTCAAGAAGAAAGCGAGAGCTGCTGAATGGGAGGTTTCAATAACTACTCGAGACTAGCATAAAGCTGAAGTGTCTTCGTTGACAAATGAATAGAGAATAACAGTCATGAGGATGTGGTGAGTCTCACAGCCCTCTGCTATTTTTTGAGGGAAGGCAGAAGATCTGAAAGGCACTGTCAATTTTCAGAGGTCTACATACTCTCCATGTGAACGGGGCAGGGGTGTGTGTCACAACCTGGGCCCATTTTCTCATCTGAAAAATGCAGGAGAATAAGCCCTCTTCATTGGGGCTGCCCCGGTGGCTCAGCGGTAAAGAATCTGCTTGCAAGGCAGGAGCCACAGGCTTGATCCCTGGGTAGGGACGATCCCCTGGAGGAGGGCATGGCAACCCATTCCAGTATTCCCGCCTCGAGAATCCGATGGACAGAGGAGTCTGGTGGGCTACAGTCCATTGTGTTGCAGAGTCTGACACGACTGAAGCAACTTGGCATGCATGCAAGCCCTCCTCAGGCAACCCACACAGGTTTTGAGTGAAATCAGAGAAAACAGTAGTAAGGCTTTGTTGATACTCCTGAAGGTATGAGACTGGTTTTTAGCAAAATCACCCGGGTGGATTTGGGGAAGTACAAATGTGTTCCTCACTTAAATACTTCTTGATCGAGGATTCTGTAGACACTGAAGAGAGACATAGAGTTGTTTTTAATTGTAGTTGCTTTATGTATTCCTCTAACAACTGCTTCTTGTGAGGTTCTAGATAGCTTCTTTCACCACTTGAAACCTTGTACATTCTAGTTCATGGCAACTGGTCTCTAGCACAAGTAGGAACTGGAGTTTATCTAAGCCAACTTCTTCAGCCGTAAGTACTCAATGTCCAACCAGGTTATTTTTCACTAGGTTTCTCTTGGCTCATTTACCTTTCACCCACCAGCAAATCTGATGGCTGATGTCCACTGGGCTCCACATGATCTCTAGGTGACCTTATGGCAGAAACATGCTAGTAGGCGTAGCTTCTTTGTAAATATGTGCATTTTCTGAAATCCAAGTGCCTATCTTAGTTATCAGCACAGACGACATGGGTTATTTCCAGAATGAATACAGTATTCTTCATCTCTCTATGGAAAATGAATAAAATGAAATATACTTTTCAGTCTTTAGGCCAGTGCTGGCTTTCAATCTTGTAACTGACACTAGGGTGTAAACCAGTGGTCCGCAACCTTTTTTGGCAGACAGTTGTCTTCGCGGAAGACAATTATTCTATGGACCACAGGGGTGGGGAATGGTTTCAGGATGAATCAAGCGCATTACATTCATTGTGCACTTTACTTCTATTATTATTACCTCAGCTCCAACTCAGATCACCAGGCCTTACACCCCGGAGGATGGGGCGTGCAGGCGTGCTCAGTCGCTTGTCACGTTCAACTCCTTGTAACCTTAAAGGCTGTAGTGGGCCAGGCTCCTCTGTCCATGGGATTCTCCAGGCAAGAATACTGGAGTGGGCTGCCACGCCCTCCTCCAGGGGAATCTTCCCGACCCAGGGGTCCAACCTGTATCACCTGCGGCTCCTGCACTGCGGGCGGATTCTTCACTGCTGAGCCACCAGGGAAGCCCCTGGGAGGCTGGGAACCTCTGGTCTAAACTCATATCTTCTTTGTGAAAAGTACAACTTTCACCATGTTTTGTCAGTCCCAGAGGGTGATAATTAAGGAGGTGTTGCTTCATAAGATGCTCCGTGGCTACCAGGGGAGGTATTCTGAAACAAGAGTATGCCAGTGAAAATGGTTCTTTAAAAATGGGTTCTGTTTATTGTGTGAAATGTCAGAAGAATCCTCAGGAAAAGATGAACGATAAAGCCTTTCTCTGCCATCTCTACAACAGAGAATCCGCTCCCCTATAAATGACTGAATGAGACCAAGTCAATGTCCACAATTCCCTTCCCCTTTTTTCTGCTTTCAGTCTACAGAACAGAATTCCTTTGTGTATTAGTGTCTGGTCCCTGGATTAGGTTCATGGAACAGGAGCCCAGTGCCTCTCCTGGGGCTGCCCTTCCGTTAGGCAATCTGACCAGGCAGGATGGCGGTAGAATATAATGTGGTCACAAAGAAAAGGAAAGAGGTCTGAGACAGGGCAAAACTCCCAGACAAAGGGTGGAGAGGAGGAGAGCACTTTGATCAGCTGCTTTGCTGCCAGCTCGAAGCGCTTCAAGTCTACCTCTCTGTCCTAATTCAGAGCCGACACACACAGGAAGGTCTCCCACCCGACTGGAGTTCACCAAGGTCCCCAGTGTTCAGTTACTGGCTGCTTTGTCTAACAGCTAATTCCAACGGCCAATCGGATGATTCCAGATACTTAGAGTATCTCCTGGAGCTCTGGCTGGACTCCAGTAATGGCTAAAAATGACAAACACACCCGTGGTTCCACTTCCCCGAAGGCCAGAGAAGAATACAGATTGGATTTCAGTTTTTGTGATACCCACAGAGCAACCCAAAGTCTTTGGGGAACAATAAAAGCAGCTCGAATTAGAGCTCATCGTGACATGAAAAAAAGAGAAACGGTAACAAGCAGTGTGAGCAAGGGGAAACCAGCAGCGGAGACAGCAGGCCTGGATACCTTCCTGTTGGTGTGAGCCTGAGGCCTGGGTGGGGTCTCCACCCTGACTCCCCTCCGCTCTGCTTTTCCTTACAGGGCAGCGTCTGCACTAGACAGCTGACTGCAGTTTAGGTTAAAGCAGCATTCTCTCACTTGGTCAAGTTGAAGATAAGAGGGCAGATGCCATTACAATAGAGAACATTAATTTCCTCCATGAATATTTTCAGCATCTACTGTATGCCTCGATGAGTCTGAGACTGCAGCATAAAACAGAAATGGAGACGTCTGTAAGTAAGGCATGTGCCAGAGCCTAGCGTGGACGAGATGCCAGAGAGCATTGGTTCTCAGACTTTACTGTGCCCCCAAGTCACCCAGACGGCCGGTTATCAGGACTTCAAAGCTACATCCTATTAGATGCCTTTGTTCCTGATAGGAGCCAGCACAGAGTCCCTCCTCTGGCTTACATGATCAGCCCAAACCAAGACAGGCACCTAGCTCAGGGGTAGCATGCTCTGCTCTGGAATGTGGCCTGTGATTGGAGCACACACAGACTTTAAACAAGGGGCAGCGAGGTGAGGCTTGATTCACCAATGGCTCAAAAGCTCTGGAGAGTGGTAAGGGGAGGCTACTGCCTGTGCGTCTTAGACACAGAGAGGGTATTTGAATCTGGAAGGCTCAGGATTAGCTCTGGACCCACCTTCTGGATGCCATTTGCCTACCATTCACTGATGATGTTTTAGAAAGATAGAGTACTAGTTTCTTAGACACAACTTCTTAGTGTATCAACCTTGCAGGAATCGCCCAAACTAAGCAAAGGAACAGGTGTGTAGATTCACTGAAATGGGGTGCTTTAGGAAAGATGGGGCTTCTCAGTTGGCTCAGTGGTAAAGTATCGGCCTGCCAAGCAGGAGAAGCAGGTTCGATCCCTGGGTCAGGAAGATCCCCTGGAGAATAAAATGGCAACTGACTCCAGTATTCTTGCCATGGAGAATCTCATGGACAGAGGAGCCTGGAGGGCTATAGTCCATGGGGTCGCAAAGAGTCAGACACGACTGAGTGACTAAATGACAACAATAGAAAAGGTGATAGGTCATGCTTTCATGGCTCTAACTTTCATGCACAGACAAATCCCTTAGGGATCCTGTTAAACAGAACGCAGCTCATTAGGTCTGGGGTGGGGCTTGAGACCCTGCCTTTCTAACCAGCTTCCCCTTCCTGCTGCTACCTGCAGTCCTGGCTCTCAGGATTATATGACTGCTGGGTAAGAGCCTTAGGATTGTGTTGACAATGATGAAGGTGGAGAAGGTGGAAAGGGAAGGAACAGGCAAGAGAGGAAAAACATTTGGAGAAAAGAATGAAATGAATGTCAAGTTGAGCAAAAAGAGCGGGTGAAATGGTCACGAGGGGATTGAGAAACTGGGTCATCTGAAAAAAGAATACCAAAAATGTTGCGTCTATTGCATTAATGTTCTAGAACAGCAATGTCCAATAGAAATACAGTGCAAGCCACGTGTGAAATTCTAAATTTTCTAAGCCACACTAAAAAGAGTAAATAGCAACTGATGAAGTAAATTTCAATATACTTTACTTAATCCAATATTCCAAATATAATTAGGTCAACATGTGATCAATATAAA